TGTGTGACCGTTCTTGTTTTCTCCTCTTGCAGTTCACTACGGACCCGACCTGGCGACTCCGATCAACATGGACAAGTGTTCGTTATCTCCGTGTGATGTGAGCGACCAGCTGTGGAGCTTCGTCAGCACCGAGTGGTAGCTGAGAGGAACTGCGTGCTCTTTATCTGTGTTGTCTGTTTTCTCATGTTCTTTACTACGTTTACACTGTTTCATGAACATTAAATATCTCACTCCTTTCAAATCAGTAGCTATTCTTTAATTGTATTTAAAGGTCCCATGTCATGCTTTTCCAGTTATCACCCGTCCCCTTGTGTTATGAGGGTTTTTCTGCATGTGAACGGTCTGCAGAGTCAAAACCCTCAAAGTACACCCTGTAGCGAGCAAAACTCTAACACAGAGAAGACCTGTCTCTAGCTGCATCTCACTTCGGTTAAATGGATTCCTTGCGTCCTTCACTTGCGTCGTTTCCCTGCGACTAGTCCCTCCCACCAGGGAAGCATGGAGAGACGCAAGGAAACCACGAGAAGCAGGGAAATTAGTTTTAAGAGCAATGGGACGTCCTTTCCTCCGGAGCGACACGTGAAGCGACGTCCGTTTGTGACGACGCCGCACAGCTGATCGTCTGACAGCAGCCAGGTCAGTGCATGCGCTGCATCGTCCAATCAGTGAGCGATACACAGCAAGGGGGCGGGGCGAGCGTCTGAGGATTTCACAGGAGGATGGTCTGGTAGTTCCTCGATTATCGATCCTCGGTCCTCCGGCAAAAATAAGGCCACTGGGACGCTACTCAAGATGGCGCAGACAAATCAACTTCCGGTGATACCGAGCCCGAGGAGCGAGGAAATGAAAAATAAGAGAAGTGAGACTATGAACGTCTTGTTGGAGATTTTTCTTTTTCAAAAATGTTTTCTTCCTGGTCACAACAACGACCAAATGGACCAATCCGTGGAGCTCCTCTCACACACACTCACTCAGCCTTCTCTTTTCTCTGTGTGTGTTTAGTTCCGCGGTGTCTCGCTGTCTCGCAGACCCCACGCAGCAACCAGGAAACCACACCAGGAGCTCCAACAAGGCGTGTAGGCCAGAGTGAATACACATACTATACAGAGATGCTGTGAGAAACCAATGTGAGTTTGTGTAAATCTATTCTAGTATACCTCAACAATAGACAGTAGGAATGGCCATGACATGGATATATCATGTTTTATAGTGTTAGACGGGGATGAGTTGAACACTAGTGGGCGCTAGAGGACTATTGGTATGGTATTCATTTGCCTTTATTTCTCCAAAGAGAAGCTGCTTTATGTTTTATGTTTTTTAGATATACTTTGTACCAATTGCAGAACAAGAGAGAGAAATGCTGATGAAAGCTTAAGAAAAGGTGGAATAATAGGCGTTTGTATTGTTTCCAGCAAAGGAATCTACAAATGCACCTCCTTACAAAAGCTATTAATAAAACATAAAATAAGGAATCACAATGATGCATTTAACCAGGGTGTCCGCGGGGTCTTAAAAAGTATTAAAAGTTGATAAATCAATTTAGCGAAAATTAAGGCTATTAAAAAGTATCATTTTCCAAGGTATTACATTTTGTAGTTTTCAATAAGTATATAAATGGTCCAAAGAGGTTGTATTCTACAGTCTGCCTGAATGTAGTCATGGCGTAGGTGTGTAGTGTGATTCTGTGTAGTTTATTGATGGCATCCCGTTGGATTTGACGTCATCTGAACAGGACATCGCGCGCTCACTGCTTGATAGCGCGCGGAGGTCCGTTTACGCCGGTTGCTAAGCAACATCGTTATGGGGAAATGCAAGTCTGCGTCCAAATGGTTGGAAGAGAAGGAGGAAGGACAATCAATACTGTATATAGTCAATGTGAGGTAAAGTGTAAGGTAACCGGTTAAAACTCCAAGTGGAGATGAGGTCTTAAAATGTAGGAAAGGGTCTAAAAAGGTTTTACATTTGACTTCAGGATTCCTGCATAGACCCTGTTACAAGAATTACAAGTTATCCCAGTGAAATATAATTTAAATATTAAAGAACATACAGAAATAAATCGAAAAGCAAGTATGACTGAATTATGTGCACGAGAAAGTGATAGCGTTCATGCTAACTACAGTTCATCATCTCGTGGTCCAGAAACATTGAACACCTGTTATTCAATTCAAGCTTTGACATATTCTATTAACGGCTTCCTTCTCCCAAAAGGACTTAATGGGGACAACGAAATGCTCCCAACGTAACAACCGATGGTAAGTAAAGCAGCTTGTTCATCAGCCTTTATAACACATATTGTATAAGAAATACTTTATTCAGCCCACATTGGGATATCTCTTCCGTTGCAGCAGCATGTAAAACAAAGTACTGCACATAATTAGAAATACAAATAGTAGAAAATACACAATTATACAATATAAACATCTCAAAATAGCAGATAAAAGAGGGAAATATATACAAGTTGACCGTGAAGATAAAGATCTGTGAACTATCTGACAAATATATATCCTTTATTTAACCAGGTAAAAGACTCATTGAGATTACATTCTCTTTTCCAAGAGTGACCTGACCAAGAAGGGCAGCATGTACGAAGTACAACAGATAAAACACAGACATGACAGGCAGACAAACACAGTTGTAAAACACAAATAAAATGTCACATTAGCCAGTCAATATGCGAAGTAAAACAAACTATTAAAAATCATTAAAAACTGGCAACATTTAAAAGGATTTAAGGATATATGAGCACTCACATCTACCAATGGTGTCCTCTGTCCTTTAAGATGGACCTGAATTCCCCCATAGTGATTCCATCTGAGAGTTTCAGCTCCTTCTGTTCAAAAACAAAGAAAACGCTATTGGAGGGCGTTCCCTGATAGTGGGGTAAAAGGGCAGCGCTGATTGGCCAATTTACATCTCAAACTGAGGACAACTTAGAATAACTTTCCTACAAAAGAAATCAATAACAAGCAACGTTAAAAATGACACTTTACAAAAACACTCCTCAAAACTAGATATCTCCCCCTGAGACCTCTGGTTTCTCCCATTTTCCCTTTAAACTGTGTTTTTTCCCCTTTTCTGGAAGTGTTTCCTTTTACGATGTGAGGGTCTAAGGACAGAGGGTCTAAGGACAGAGGGTCTAAGGACAGAGGGTGTCGTATTGTCATACTGATATTCTGTACACACTGTGAAGTCCACTGAGACAAATGTAACATTTGTGATATTGGGCTATAAATAAACATTGATTGACTGATGTCCAGATAGCTCACAGGAAAAGACTCAAAGGTTTTATCGTCATATTCTCAAAGCTGCAGTGTAGAAAGGAAATGACATTCTTCTGACCTGAGCTCCTCCAACAATGAAACATATAACATACAAAATAAAAAGTAGTGCAAAAAGTCTGTATACACAAAGACACACATACACAAACACACACATACACACATACACAAAGACACACACACACATACATACATACACAAAGACACACATACACAAACACACACATACATACATACACAAAGACACACACACACATACATACATACACAAAGACACACACACACATACACACATACACAAAGACACACATACACAAACACACACATACATACATACACAAAGACACACACACACATACATACATACACAAAGACACACACACACATACATACATACACACACAAAGACACACACACACACATACATACATACACAAACACACACACACACACACACACACACACACACACATACCACGTATACATCACTTCAGGGGACATTACATTGACTTACATGCATTTCCTTGAGACTTATCCTAACCTTAACCATAACCAACACATGCCTAAACCTAACCAAGTCTTCACCCTAAAATTAATGATCCCCCTTATGGGGACCTCCAATTTGTCCCCATAAGGGAGGCGAGTCCCCACACGTGACTATGTAAACAGATTTAGGTCCCCACAAGGATAGTAATGCTAGGACACACACACACACACACATACATACACACACACACACACACACACACACACACACACACACACACACACACACACCACTGCATGTAACAGAGGGCTAAAGCACAGCTAACACAAAGTAGGATATTCTTCTTCTTCATTTGTTGTTTGTTTTGTTTTTTCTGTAAAGCGACCTTGGGTCCCCTGAAAGGCGAAGTTATTGTCAGTATGATCTGTATTTCAGCTGTGGCACATTTCGTCAGCAGTTTAGAGGAATCGATGCCACAGGGTGCAGGGCGTGGTGGTGAGGAGGGTAGATAGCGCCACTCGCCTCGCTCTCATCATGACTGGGCGCAGCGTGTGGTTTCCTGACGGTAAACAGAGCAGCATCTCGTCTCTGCCGCTTCATCACACTTCTTAGCAAGTGGTTAACAAGTGGTGAGCGGGGGTGCGGGGCTCTGTTAGTCATGCCTGATCCTCGCTCTGTTCATCTGTATCATTTAATCTGCACTGGATCATAATCGTGTTTGAAATGTTTAATCCTAATATAAATGACACGTTTATCACTGAGGATTCACTTGCTGTTATTTTATGCTTCTTTTTACTTAAACACTGCAATTTAAAGAGACATCTTGAGCTTTCTACTTCATCGTATTTATCCGTCAGTTTTAGCAATTAAGATTTTTGCAAAATGAGTTTAATTAGCCAATTTTTTATTATTATTTACAATATATATTTTTTCTGTATTATTATTATTTCTTATTTTTTGGACATTTAATACTTTAAATACATTTTGCTGAGGACATTAACTTTTTTTGTTTACCTCAGTAATACAAATGCGTTGTTTGCTGTATTTAAATGACATTACAGGTTCACAGGTTTACCGAAACCAACCTGCATACATTCAATATTGTTGATCCGAAGACCCCCACCTCCCCATGTATATTCGTCTTTTCTAGTTTTGACTCACGGTGAGAAACAGGAAGCATGTTGTGTTGGTGTGAAAACAGAAACTCTACCAGTTAAAATAAACACACACACACACACCTCCAGGTAAACTTCATTCACATGTTTTTATTCAGTGCACATATAAAAAGTGACATCATAATTTAAGTCAGGTTTTTCACAATACAAAAAAAAAAGGACTATAGATATTTACAAAGTATACAAAACAAAGTAAATAGATTTTCTCTTTACATGTATGTACAATAACACAGTTGGCAAAGCAAGACATTTATTTTTCTATGTCACTATAACCACAAAATGAATTCCCCCCAGAAGCCCACCCCCTGTTCTGGGAACAGATGATATCTGCTATTTCAACACGAGAAACATTGAACTTTCTCCAACAAGTAGAGCAACTTTTCTCCATAATTAAGCACATAAATGGGATTTTGCAGCCCGAGAAGGCAACAAACCTCCGCTGTCGGGTTTTATTGCTTTGAGTCATTCATCACGTGTCACTACATGTGTTGAAGGGACCTCCAAAGCACAGTATGACGCGTTCAGGGCCTCTCCGCGCAAAAAAGAGCCTCTGATCATCGGGGCGAATGACCAAAAAGCCTCACATGGCAGACATTACATGGGTTTGGCTGCAGATTTCTGGGTGTGGATGCTCCTGTAACAACATGTCATTAAATGTATCACAGGGCGACGAGATAGGGCACACTTTGAGCTTTACCCTCGGTTTATCAGCGCAATGAAATGGGTTTATGTGAAACGACTGCACACTGTGTTCATTCAAACACACATGAGATGTCATTCATAGCCAAACATCACTTGTTTCTCTACCCGACAGCTTTAGTTCACTTGACATGATTTATTGATTTGTTTTTTTTATAATTTCAGTCATTTTTCAAGTAAATCTACCAGAAAATGTGGTTTAATTATGAAAATGAATGTGCTGTTGTCCTCAAATCCATATGTAAGACACATTTGATGGGATTTCCTTAAACATTGGAAAGGAAAAGCCACCAACATAAATGCTGTGAAATGAGTCATTGATGAATTAATTGCAATTTATAATTAGTCATTTTTCAATTAAAACGGACAAAGATGGTAGTGGTTTTTGTTGTTGTGATTTTCTGCTTTTCTTAAGGCCAGTTTTCAACCAAATCTTGCTCAAATATCATGGATTTCTTAGAAAATTGGCCCAAAAGAAACACCCATCTCCATTGAGATGACATGCTGTCTATTCGTCTTCATTTATAGTGGAAAATGAAGATCACGGCCAAAGATATAACCACCAAATGCATTATTTCTCTATCTGCCAACATTAGATTACTACTTTTCTGGAGCATTTGTTCAAAGGATTCACTGATTAACTGTTTTCTTAATTTAATAAATAACAATTTCAGTCATTTTAAGTAAAACTGCCCAAAAAAGCTCCACATGTTTACATTTTCAGTGTTGATTTGCTGCTGTTGTCAAGGCGAGCTCCCAAATCCCAGCTCCCAGATCACGTGCAAACAAACCACCCAAATGAATTCATGTTTCAACTGTGAGATGATATCATGACAATCCCTGTATTTATCTATAACATCTGCCCTTTAATTTCCTTTTCAAGAGGAAAACAAACACTGATGAAAGGAAACGGCTACACGGAAGATGCTCTGACTAATACTGGCCGTGTTTTTAGTGTCTTAAAGATAAATGTAATGCTAGTTTGCCTCCTCCTCTTAAGGCATATCGACTGTCTTTCTCCCAATATGGACTCCTGTTGCATCGAGCTTATTCTGTCCATGAGGTTTTAATACCAAAAACTCCGGCAGAGTGCAACAGGAAATGTAAACTCCAGTCCAACACGAAGCACAGCTCAGATTTAGAGACCACGTTTTAGTCCGAGTGCTTTCTCTAAGAGTCCCGTGTGTCATGTTTTGGACATCCTGGGGTAAATCGCTTTGATAGTCGAGGGCGTACAGTTCCCAGAAGACACCGTCGTCTCCAGTCCTTCCAGCCTATGGGAAACGCCGTCTGTTTTACTGGTGCTGCACTCCAGGAAGGGCATCCCGATCTTCTTCAACTGCCCGTCCTTCGTCATCAGACAAGGTCGGCACAGCAGCCTCAGAATCGCCCGCCTCATATCCTTGCTCGTGAGCGTGTAGATGATGGGGTTCAGCAGGGAGTTTAACATGGCGATACCCAGAAAGTAGTCCGCCTTGAAGAGCACATCGCAGCTTTTCGCCGGGCAGCAAAAGTCCAACAGTAGGAGAATGAAGAGCGGCAGCCAACAGATGATGAAGACTCCCAAGACGATGGTGACGGTCTTCAGGAGCGCCATGTACTTCTGGGATTTTCGGTAGAGGCCTTTTCGCTGCGGTGCTGAGGCGAGACGCTGCGTGTTGCACTTCACGATGCGGAAGATACGCACGTAAAGCACCACGATGGACATGAGGATGGCGCTGAAGACGGTGATGCAGAACAGGATGTAGCTTTTGGCGTAGAGCGGGAGAACCGTGGAGCATTGGTCCAACAAACCCATGCAGTTCCACCCCAGAACGGGAAGCACTCCGAGGAAAATGGACAACATCCAACTGGCGCCGATCAGAGCGAACATCCGACCTTGTTTGTCGCCCTGATACGGCTTCATTCGCACCATCGTCACGTGACGCTCTATGGCGATGGCGAGCAGACTGATGACGGACGCCGCCAACATGATGAAAACCCCGCCTTCTCTGAGGAACCAAAGCACCGGAGTCATGTTCAAAGTCTTGGCGCCGGATGTTACAATGTTCACCATGTACGTGAAGCCCGCCAGCAGGTCGGAGAGGGTCAGGCTGCCCAGTAGGTAGTACATGGGCACGTGGAACTTCTTGTTTTTCCAAAGGGCCAGAAGCACGATGGCGTTTTCTATGACGATGAGCACGCAGACGAGCAGGAAAGCGATGGCCTCGGGTTTGAGTCCCTCCTTGTATCTGCCCTCGAGTTTCCCTGTGAAGTTGTAGTGCTTCAAGATGACAGAGTTACTTTGATATGAGCGGAACATCCGAAGCAGGTTTCCAGTGGAGGGCGACATCGGGTTGGCAGACGGGGCTACAGCAGCGTAGGCGGCATGGAAAGACTCTGTCGCCATTTTTTGTTATTTCCACAAGGATTTGAACGATTTCTGAAGGTTAGATCCACAGAAAAGCTGTCATAAAGTCCTCTGGTTGTGCATATTTCTCTGGTATTAGAAGCTTGAAGGAAATGTGTTCCTTTTGATGCAGTCAGAGAGGATTTCCTGTGGTTTTGAGAATTTTCCTCCCAAAGTCTCAATTTCTGCCACTAGGAGGCGATGAGAGCCAACCTGCAGTAAACAAGAGGAGAGGAAAGTCAGTGAGGATGACTACACATAAACACGATCCCTTATAATGACAGGAAATTCATTATTGGATTAATTTAGAAAATATGAACATGAGTCAGAATACAAACAGAAAATATAACACTTAGTAATGATTATTTTCATGGCTGAGCTGTCAGTTTCCTGTATGCTTTTACTTGTACGGATTATTACAGTTTTATAAACAAAATAAAGGATTAATAAATGCTTCCAGCTGGTGCTTAACAACGGATACACATTCAAACAGGAACTGGAAGCATATGTATATGAATCATAAAAAAACGCATGAGATAGATACCACAAGAGTTAAAAGGACCAGCCAGTTGTCACTGACTACATGTCACTTTGAATGTTTTTCAGAGCAACACATCCATTTCAACACATCCATCTTCACGCAGTTTATCCGACAAAAATGGCAAAAACGTGACTTTTAAAACACTCCAGTCCCCACGCCTGTAAAAACGTTAATATCCAGAAGTTGCACCAAAGAGGGAGGACTCGGGCACACAGTTAAAAAACAAGTTACATGTCAGAGCAACACGGATCAATTTGACTCATCTTTACGCATCTATTCCAAACAATATCACTTGTAATACCCAGTAGTAGCAGCGGAGAGAGGACACGGGCTCACGCGACTTTGATTGGTGTTGTCAAAACCATCAGCAATATCGATACGGTAGGAAATAAAAAATGACCATTTGCTTACGGTAAAGTCACCATCATTCAAATTCCACGCATCTTCACGCATCCTATACATCCAGGATGTTAAAAACGTAACTTTTGTAACACTTTTTCACACACCTGTTACTGCGTGAATATCCAGGAGAAGCAGCAGAGAGGACACGGATTTAGGAAACACGCACACTGTTCCAAAAGGACCAGTTGCTAACAGTAAGTCATTATACATTTCAGAGCAGCACGAACCCACTTTACGCATCTTATCCAATAATCGTAACATGTAAAGCTACTTTCCCACGCACCTGTAAATGCGTAAAAACCCAGTAGTACATAACGTAATAGTTACGAATGACCACTTGCATACACTGAATGCATTTCAGAGCAACGCGAACCCATTTCTCGCGTCTTTACGCATCCTATCCAACAACCGTAACTTTGAATGTACTTTTCCACTTACCAACAGAAAGAGGACACTGCCTCGGGCAACTTTAGTTGTCATGCATACAGTTTAAAAAACGATAGTCATAACCATAAGAAATATCGATACCCAAAGAATAAAAAAAGACCACTCCCGTCCAACAACGTCACGGACCCATGTTACGCGTCTTTACGCACAAACCCGTCCAAATGGTCAGAAAAGTAAACTTTAAATCCGTTTTCCACGCACCTGTAGAGTGGTAAATATCCAGTAGCAGCAGCAGTTGTGTCAGGCAGCGGCTCTGGTGTGATGTGGGAACAGAGCAGGCAGGCAGGACTCGACATGCAGTGGGTTGGTCCTCCGTGTGGTTGGCCTTCAACGCTTCTCCTCCTCCTCCTTCATGACCCCTCACTCTCTGATTTGCCCTCAGGACGGATTACAGCTCGATGACAGATTATGTGTTTATGTTTGTTATGCAACAGAACAGGTAGAAAGTGAGATGTGAAGAGAGGTGGAAGATAGATCCATTACTCAAGTAAAAGTACTCAAGTAAAAGTAGAAACTACTCCACTACTTTATCTGACAGCTTTTGACTCATTCTGATTAAATCAATATTGACATTTAGGTTAAGATATCAAGCAGCAGTTCATAAAGTTATTACAATTAGCACCACCTTTATCAGCTGTGATAACACTTTAATTAATTTATAATCATAAACCAGTCATTTCATACACTCTGAAATGAGCGAATTTGCATATGAGTACTTTTACTTACTATTTTGATGCCAATGCTTTTGCACAAAGTAAGATTTTGATGCATTTTGAGTTTAAGTATAAGTCTGAGTACTTCTTCCACCTTTTGCACATAATGACAATTCACTTTTTGGTAAAGTAGGAAACATCTTGAGTCCAGCTGTTAAACTTCTGAAGTGAAAAGAATTGCTTTAAATTCATAAATGACAGAGACAAGAATGTCATTTTAATAATTTACGACCGGGTAATTTAACTTTTCTGCCCAAAGGATTCCTTCCACAGAGTTTGTATGTCTTACAAACATAGAGTAGGGAGGGGAATATCTATAAATGGCATGAAAGCCCCAACAAACTGTATTTTTTAATGTGTGAGCAGAAAGATAATTACAGACTCTGCCAGTATGTCATTTTCTGAATTCTGGGGTTTCTGGCCTGCCAAACCGATCCAGCTGCACCTGCCTCAGAAACTGCTATTTTTCCACGCTGACATTAACGTGTGGTTTTTTCAGTATGGAGTTTTTTTCTGAATGTGACGTTTCCCTGTTCTGCACTGTGGGAGAATCTGAGAAACCTGACAAGCGGCTGTGATGATCTGCAGCTTAATTACACGTCAGGAGCATCAGGAAGGGAAATGCTTCCAACGAATAACCTCTGATTCTGTACCTGAGGGCAAACTGTATGGAGAGATATACTCAGGCAGAGGAATGTTATCAGGGTGAGCAGGTTCACGTTACAATTACTAGTTAACTGTTGGGCCTTTTGGATTATCAAATGCATTACAACCAATCAGATATGTTTAACTTAAAGGGGCCCTATTCTGATCGTTTTCAGGTGTAGATGTAGTGTCTCTACTTTAAAGAGTCCTCTCCTGCTGATGTTCAGGTGTATATCAGTATGTAGTGTCTCTACTTTAAAGAGTCCTCTCCTGCTGATGTTCAGGTGTATATCAGTATGTAGTGTCTCTACTTTAAAGAGTCCTCTCCTGCTGATGTTCAGGTGTATATCAGTATGTAGTGTCTCTACTTTAAAGAGTCCTCTCCTGCTGATGTTCAGGTGTATATCAGTATGTAGTGTCTCTACTTTAAAGAGTCCTCTCCTGCTGATGTTCAGGTGTATATCAGTGTGTAGTGCCTCTACTTTAAAGAGTCCTCTCCTGCTGAAGTTCAGGTGTATATCAGTATGTAGTGTCTCTACTTTAAAGAGTCCTCTCCTGCTGATGTTCAGGTGTATATCAGTATGTAGTGTCTCCACTTTAAAGAGTCCTCTCCTGCTGATGTTCAGGTGTATATCAGTATGTAGTGTCTCTACTTTAAATAGTCCTCTCCTGCTGATGTTCAGGTGTATATCAGTATGTAGTGTCTCTACTTTAAAGAGTCCTCTCCTGCTGATGTTCAGGTGTATATCAGTATGTAGTGTCTCTACTTTAAAGAGTCCTCTCATGCTGATGTTCAGATGTATATCAGTATGTAGTGTCTCTACTTTAAAGAGTTGTCGTTTGACAACCTTGTAACGCTGCGAGTAATCCACACTTTATAGACATCTGATCTGAGTACATGTGTTATGTTACTGTGAGGGAAATCCTGCTTTGAATACCTAAAGCTCTTGGATTGAGTTACTGCCTGACTTCCTCTTAGTGCTTTGTATCTTTGCTGTGAAAAGTGCTAAACAAATTAAGATTACTAATTGTTTAAATCCCCTTTTATCTCATTAATGTTTAACTTCATTCACCTTCTCATTAGCAAACACAGCTGGAGAGATCCCAGCCTAAGACCTTATCACCAAATCCAGAATTCCTCTACCTGCCAAGCTTTAGGCCCCGGCCACACGAGGACGAAAACGGTCGTTTGCGTTACTGTTTAGTGTCATATAGACCGTTCGGCCACACGAGGACGACCGAATACGGCACTATATGGACATAAACGCGAGTGAAGTCTAATCTGACAGGACGGAGACACCTCTCAAACTACCTAAACTAGTTATAAATATGTTTATTTTTACTGTCGGCCGGGTCACTCATTACTGGATCAGCTGCTGAGACTGACGCTGTCCGAAGAGAGGGAGGAAAAAGAGAGGCTCCGTGTATTTTATTATTATATTATATAGAGTCGTTATTCATTTGTTTTAAAGCTCAATAAATAACAAAGAAGACCTTTGACCGGCACTTTTATAATTTTGTCCGGAAGATTTAAACTTTGATACACGTTGACTGGCGAAAAACTCTGCCCGGTTCCCTCGGCCCCCACCGCGGAGAATAAACAGAAGGGCAACCATGACAACCATGCTTCTTCTGCTGCTTTTGTGGAGGAAGTTACAGCGCCACGTACAGGCTCCAATATTGCGTGTGGACTGAAGCTTTTTGCGATTGCGTTTGCGTTAATCCTATGCGTTTAGCCGTTTTCGTCCTCGTGTATCCTCCTTAGATAACTACTTTTACATGATCATTTATGTTAATTAATAAACCATTTGAGTCATTTTTCTTGCTAACCCACCAAACATGTGGCAGATTTGTTCAATTGTGGGGATTTGCAGCTTTTCTAACGTCAAGTTTTTGCCTTACACACATTTCCAGAAAATTGGCAGAAAAAAAGAAAAACAACCAAATTAATTCGTCTAGATAATCAACAATTTCTTACATTTTTCAAGCTAAACAGTCAAAAAAGCTCCTGATTTTTTCAATTGTTGTGGTTTAGTACTTTTCTAAGGGAATGTTCCTCTCAAATGTATTGGTAATCCAGAAATGTGGCAATAAAACCAACTCCGATGAGCCATAACCCGGCCATTGTCTATCAGCAATTGGCTCTATATCTTTGATTTCATTTCATGTTGAAATACCTCGGTTTTAATGTCTTAAAGATACATTTAATAACTCTCAAGAAACTGCCAAAATAGCACCAATAGTACTCATGGAATTTCCATTAAACGGAAAATACAACCAACACAAACGAATGCGCACTTCCACCAAGGTCACATCGCCCGAAACCTGGCAGAGCATGGGGGAAGTTACGTCAGGTAGAGAGTGCCTTTCTTTAAACAGGAAGCTGCCTCATTGTGCCTCGAAAGGAGAGGGATATCCTTCAGAAAGAACATGGATGAAGTCACCGTGAGGAATTAACACACAGACGTGACGTTCAAATACCCCTCACGCACATAATTAACATCTGACTCATTTCCTCTGCAGCTAATGATAATGCCCACACGCCATTTCATTCAGAGGCTCCGCTGGTGGTCTGAAGTCTTGTTTTGAAATCCTATTTTAGCTCCTCTCACCACACCTGCTAACAGCAGAGGAATGTTTTGAAGTACATTCACTCAAGTATTATACTGAGGTAGTATTTCCATGTAACGCTACTGGAAGCCAATTGTAATTTTATATAACAAGTACTCAGAGATGTAAAGTAGATTTACTCAAGTAAGTACGATTTTGAGGTCCCATTCTATGCTGCTTTGTACTTCTACCCCACTACAATTCATTACTCCACTACTGTACATGTATTTAATCCCTTTAGTTACTTTACGGATGTGGATGAATGATGTGAAATCTAATCAAGTGTTAAATCAGACTTTAGTTCCACCTGGAGTAAATCCACCAGCTACCCTGCAGTATACAAAGCCATTCAAACTAGCTGCTCCTTTACCAGCTTTGATAACACTTTCATGATCAATCATTATAAAACATATCATATATATTATTCTGAAATGGACCAATCTGCACAATGACTACTTTTACTGTCGCTACTTTCACTATATTTTGATGAGAATACTTTTCTACTTTCACTTGAGGAACATTTTGAATGCAGGACTTTTACTGTAACAGAGTATTCCTACACTCTGGTACTTCTACTTTTACTCAAGTACAAGATCTGAGTACTTTTACTTTTACTCAAGAACAAGATCTGAGTACTTCTACTTTTACTCAAGTACAATATCTGAGTACTTCTACTTTTACTGAAGTACACAATCTGAGTACTTCTACTTTTACTCAAGTACCAGATCTGAGTACTTCTCCCACCTCTGCAAGTACTTTTCCTTTTGGTTTATTGAGTGTATGTTGATGCCAATACTTTTGTACTTTTACGGTCTATGTATTTCTACTTTTACTTAAGTAAATGTAACAAGTTCTACTTTCTGTTTTTTATTTTACAATGTGGAAAAAACAGTTTTTAAGATTTATATATTTTTTGAAACACAGAAGCCCACCCAAGAAATACCCATACTGCACTTCTCCTCTCATGGCAGTTGACCCCCTGCTGTGACAGGCTCCCTGTGGGACGCCTCTGTTAGTTAACACACAAAGACCTGACAGCAGGACCCTCCTCTGTCTTTTAGTTTCCTCACACACTCCCTCAGGCCACAACACACAGAGACCCTCCCAGCCATCTTACTGTATGTGTGTACATGTGTGTGTGAGTGTGTGTGAGTGTGAGTGTGTGTGCCTGTGTGTGTGAGTGTGTGTGTGTGCGTGTGTGTGTGAGTGTGTGTGGCCTAGTATTACTACAGTATACTTGTGGGGACCTAAATCTGTTTACATAGTCACGTGTGGGGACTCGCCTCCCTTATGGGGACAAATTGGAGGTCCCCATAAGGGGAATCATTAAGTTTAGGGTGA